CTGGTTGTTCAGCAGAGACAAATGGGTTTTGCACCTTTTCAGGCAAATTGGCCGGGTCTTCTGTTGGAACATCTTTGACAATGTCTCCTACAAGTTGTGCAGTTTCAGTATCTGACTTCTTTTCTGCTGCGATTGCCAGAATGTGGGCTAGTGAAACTTTTTTTTGCGTGTCAGGGGACAGTATCGCCATTACCCTGAAGCCGAAGTCAATCGCCCCAGACGCCTTGGTATGTCCCTTTTCTATTGTTTTTAGGTGGAAATTTCGGAGAGGGAGGAATTTCTTGGTTTTAGTATTATTGATCGGAGCCATAATTAATGCGAGGTGACGAGCGCAGGTGAGGCGACGTGAAACAAGCGGGAAAGGTGGGAAGATGCCGCAACATGGCAGACTGACTAAACTTCATAAAAGAGACGCGTATTTTCCTCCCCCAGACTATGACGAATAAAGAACTCAATATAAGTGCCAGGAACCGCAACAACGTTTTCTGGACTTACGCTCTCCTTAGCAGCCCTGTACAAAAAATCGGCTTTAGGTGACCGCAACGTGGTCCACCTGTTAACACTCGCGAGGATTCGCGAGCATTCAAAGGGGGGGGGGTGGTCGCACTTGAGGTGATTTCTTATAGGTTCAAGACCCTAGGCGCAACATGCCTTTTTAGTATTGCCTTTGTAGTCTTCTTAGTCTGTTCAGGGTCTCTCAAACATTGACTCAAAAGATCGCTCCGAGGAGTTTACTCATAGGTTCAAAACCATAGGCTTAACATGCCCTATTAGCTTTGGCTTGAGGACTCCTGGATTGATCGGAAAATACTGACGAAACGCGGAGCACGTGCTCAGGCAACAGTGTCCGATCGGGGCCGGGCCGGGCCTCTCTTAATAGAGATGACAATAGATAGATAGGCGCAACTTGCCTTTAATCCAGCTATCGCCGGGTTGGGAATCTCACTCTACCTATCTCGTCCCAGAGACATTGATTAGGAGGAATCAGTGGTCGCGGGCAATCAAAACTAAACGGTCGCCAATTCTCGCGAAAAATAGGATCAAAAACGTGCCACCTAAAAAACACTCAAAAGACAACAGGCAATAGACAAATAGTGAGATCAAAACTGCAGGCTTTTTGCAGTGCGAAAAAGATCAGGGCGAAAAATGGGAAAAATCAAGAAACAACTCGAGTGCAATTTTACTAGCTTTCAGACTGGTGATCTCACCGCGATCTACCGGCTGAAATTGAAACTATTAGAGGTAGAATGGGCTTCGATACCGAACATACCCCACACCAAAATTTTCAAAAAAAATTATGAAAAAATGGGATCTAGAAATCCAAGTTCAAATCTAGTTTCAAGAGGGGTTCTGTTAAATTTATTCATGCTTGATCAAGGGCTGGAAGGGGTGTCAAAAGGTTCTAAAAATGGATAATTTCTCCAGGTTTGATGCTAATTCTGGAGTCATCCCTGAGTCGCAGGCGGAAGGGGTGACGAGTTTTACAAACCCTACTAGTGTTCCAGCTGAGAGAGAATTTATGGAGGGCACTATAAGCTACTCAGGATTAATATCGGACGGATTAAACACTCGATATCTGATGATTATTTGGGGGTCCAAACAGGGTTCCGTCGGGGACGAGGGTTTCAGGGCGCCTTCCAACAAAACGCGTCTTACGAACTTGCCTTCCTTTAGCATACACTCCTTAGACTCAACGTTGAGGGTGTAGTTCGGATCTACGGCAGTAAGTGCGCGAAGGCAAACACAGACCCCGCAGTCAACTGAATTTTTTTGCCTTGGCTCGGACTCAACTTGTACCGGCCACGACACTATAGATCTTTCTTGCAACCAATAAGCTGCAAGAGCCTTCAAATGATGCGTGTTTCAACTAGAGTAACGGACGAGACTGTCAAACCACTTAATCTGTTTTCGTAAATCCTTTGGTTCCTGCAAAGCATGTTTTTTTGGTAAATCCTTTGATTCCTGCGAATGTTGAATAAGTTCGGGAGGACTCTTTAACTCCAAAATTGCCAAGGACCAGTGTTCGGCCAAAAAATCAAATTATGGCACTAGAACGAACTCAACACGTTTCCGTGCCAGAGCTAAAACCTTTTGAGGCCGCCGAAAAACCCTTCTCCCGAAAAACGGACCACACTAACGGATCCACAAAACTGAACGGGGCTAGGGAGCAATTCACAGAAGACACAGTAGAATGTATAAATAACCGTTTATTATTTTATCCGAGACCTTGCGAGGGCCGTCTAGGGTCTTAAGTTTCTCTTCGGGGACGCGTAGAGAGTTCATACTGACTTCAGGAGGCGACTGGCCGCTCAACTTGCAGTCGGCCACCGTGGTCCTCGTTTTTCTCCTTGGCGGTGGCCGCGGGAAGGGAGCACAATTTGTCGAACGGGCGCGTGTACTCGGCGTTCGATGTCCGCACCTTCCCAGCACGAACCACATTGTCTCGTCCTGGGCAAAGTTCGAGGACGCGGGGGAGCGTCCAGTGTGTCGGAGGACAGTTCGGGTAACGACAAGATCTCCGATAGCCAGGTTCCGCGTGGGAACATTCCACTAGACGCGTTGCTGAAGAGTGTGTAGATAATCACGCCGCCAGCGCTTCCAGAATGACTGCGGAAGTCGTGTCAATAGTTCCCAGCGTGACAGCCGGTTGAGGGATACTTCATGAAAGATCGCGTTCTACCCGTGCTACAAGAAGGGGCTCCGATCAAAAAATGACCCGGAGTCAAGACATAAATTTCTTGGGGGGCATCCGAAAGGGCACACAAGGGGCTTGAATTCAATATGGCTTCTACTCTCGTTAAGATCGTAGTGAATGCTTCGAACGTCAGTCGCTGATCTCCAATCAGGATTGGCAGTAAGTACTGGTACACAACACATTTTTGGACACAATTTTGGAGTTACCTACAACAAAAATTTTTTGCTGGCTGAAGGGTATTTTTTCAAATTTACCTTCACACCGAGGAGCGAAAATTGCTTTTGGTCCTCTTTCGTAGTGATGGCTTTGTTGAAAGCCGTCATTAATGTCACCGCTCTCTCGGCAGCATCATTGATTGCTTTCATACTTATTCTAACTACTTTCAAAGCTGAATTGAAAGTTTCCAGCTGAGTCCACTCAGAGGGATGAGAGTGTATAAAATCTTTGGCTATATTCAGACGATCGAAAAAAGTGTTCGTATTTGTAGTGACGAAGTTTCCCAGGGAAATATTTTTCTTTCTTCTCAGCATGGCTTCTCAACCAACTATTTCGTAGTTTAGCAGCTATGAATTCAATTGCCTCATCTGAGAGGTGCGAACATTTTATTTTTGAAGTATCCTGAATGGAGAATCCTTTATTGAATGTTACGTCACATAGGACACTGTATGGAATGACTAAGTCGGACATTTTTCGTGATAATACTTGTTCTAAAAACGCTATCAACTCTTACAATTTCTAAAATATCACAGCGAATGCAAATTAAAGGTGAAGTATGGACACATTCATATGAACGTGATAACTGAATAACAGCCTTGAGCCTCGAATAAACTAGTTGTTTAGGAAAAGAGAACATTTCTTCCCTCTCCGTTGACACATATCACACACACATTCGACTCGAATACATATCACAGATGAGATGCTACTAACATAGTTCTGCACGAAGTTCTGCACTGAGATCTGAAAGATGTTAATACAGGAACTTGAATTTTCTTTATTTTTTTTTTTTTTTTTTATTATTTAACACGTCATTTAACATTCATTAGCACGTCTTAGGAAATACAAATTTAGCACATTTAGCTTAAGAATATGAAACATATATATCTTAGAGATAGCTAACTACTAATGATAAATGAGTGATATAGGTGAAGAAGATGAGAACATGAGAAGAACTTAATGTAATCTTAAAAATATAGCTGTTGTTTAATATGCTTCTCCAAACTCGTTCTATAAGAAAATGTTTTCAAACACGTGGGACAAGTTAAAAATTCTCCCTTGTGGCGCGCCCCCTCATGAGCCAATAATTTCTCAGCTCGTGTGAATTGTCTCTTACAGGAGTTGCATTTAAACATTTTGCCCGAATGCTGGGGGCTAACTATCTACAAAGACAATTGTCTAATTACTTAAAATTAGACAAATACTTAAGATTAGACACGATTAGCACTGTACATACAAAAGATAAGTTAAATTAAACCGTGTACATACAGAGAATGTCTTTTAATTCGCTCGTAAGAAGGAACGTGAAAACTGGATACTCTAAACTTGAAACTTTCTTTCGATAGAAATGTTTTCTCTCCCGAGCAACTAGTCGGTGCTTGAGAGAGCCATGTTTCCGTACCTAAGCACTAGCTAGTTGCTCAGTAGAGAAAACATCTCTCTCCTTTGCACTGACCAGTTGCGCAGGTTTCTCTGCTTCGCACTGAGTAGGTGCTTAAGGGGGATGTGTTTTTGCTCTCCCAACCATGGACTGGTTGCTTCTTGGTCATAGAGTACATAGAGTCGTAATGTAAATGGGAGAGCTGGCGCCATGTTCTGCTCGACGATGTCCGAGCCCGGTGTGCGCCGAGTTCGGGTCGCTTTTTCGATACATTTTCGATCCAAAATGGTGGTGTGGAATACGTGGTAATCCCTATCTCCTTTGTTGTTGTTGTTGTTGTTGTTGTCATCGGATGGCTGGGTACCCGCGTATCGCAAAAAATCGATTATGTATCGAAAAAGTGACCCGGCGTCACACAGGAGTCTCGGAATTCGGGACATGGAAAATGCTTAAAAGTGGCGCCAGCTCTCCCACTTAGATTACGACTCTATGTACTCTATGTTCTTGGTACCCAGGTTCCTACCAGGGAATCGATGTTCCAAACCACAGGACGAGCGTTTTCACTCCAGATACCTCGGGTGTGCCAGAGCCCCCGTCCACTATTACCTACCGTAACTGCTACCTTACCGCTATGTGTCCTTATCATTACCTTTATGTTCAGTCTTTACCTCTCGTTGTTGGTAACATACTGTATGGTTTTTCTGTCGACAGAGGTGGAGGTCGAGGGCAACAAAGTCTCGGAGGAGATCCGCGACAACTCGATCGACGGAGGCAGCAACGTGTTCAACGAGCTGCACGGGTCCTACCCGGAGCCGATGAACGAGTCGGACTACGCCCGCAAGCAGCACCGGAGCCCGGGCGCCGGCGCTTCGCACACCGCCCCGAGGACGCTCCTCCTCGCACTGGTCCTCTCCTACGTCGTCCGGTGGTCGACCAGCGCAGCCTGGTAACCCGTGCGTCACCGTCCTGCCAGGATTCCCGTCGCATCGCAGCTGTAGTCATACCGCACGACGGCCGAGCTTTGTCGACTCACGACATGAAAACCATGAAAACTTGACATTTTTTTCTTTAGTCAAAAGAACGCGGTTTATCTGTAAATTCTGAGTTTTTACACAGGACCTTGAAAATTAAGAACGACTTAAATGTACCAAATTCACAAGCTATAAATCATCGATAAATATACAGTTTTATCGCAGCTGTAGTCATACCGCACGACGGCCAAGCTTTGTCGACTCACGACATGAAAACCATGAGAACTTGACATTTTTTTCTTTAGTCAAAAGAACGCGGCTTATCTGTAAACTCTGAGTTTTTACACAGAACCTTGAAAATTAAGAACGACTTAAGTGTACCAAATTCACAAGCTATAAATCATCGACAAATCTACAGTTTTATCGCAGCTGTAGTCATACCGCACGACGGCCAAGCTTTGTCGACTCACGACATGAAAAACCATGAGAACTTGACATTATTTTCTTCAGTTAAAAGAACGCGGTTTATCTGTAAATTCTGAGTTTTTACACAGAACCTTGAAAATTAAGAACGATTTAAACGTACCAAATTCCCAAGCTATAAATCAGCGATAAATCTGCATTTTTGTTACTTTTAAGTAACTTATCCGTTTTTACCTGGAAACTTACAATCTATTCACTGCTTGCCTTACAAACTATCAGCGTATGACTTGGATACTGATGACAAAACATTCGGTGAACTCATAAAAGTAGCAGTTAAAGTGTATTCTTATTTTAAGGAAACATAAGGGAAACTTATAAAGGTAGTAAAATGTAAGCGTTCAAAATTCCTACACGTAGGCAGAGTGGAAAGACACGTTTCCAGGAACTATAACTAATTGCACCTGTAACTAGCTGGTTTTGACAAAAATATCTTTAGGTGAAGGCACTAGTCAAGTATGAACAAAAATAAAACTTATATTTACCTAAATAAAAAAGATATCATTGCCTATTACGGACAGACGATTTTTGAGCGCCGCTTGGTCGCTGAAGGTCGAGTAAGGCACATTAGTGGCGGTGAAACATTTCAGAAACGAGAATGGAAATGAACGCGATTCATTTTCACGGCTATTTCAGAACGTCATAACCTAATTTCCAATCACAAAACTTGATTTACATTCATCAGTGATCATTCTTGAACACACCTTTTATCATCTCATTCTCTCGACCAGTCCAAAATCATAGTAGCCCACGCGCCTGGTAGCTAATAAGAAGGCTACTTGGAATTTTGGGTACATAGCTATTTTTTGGCCTACTGTATGATTTTTGGGTCGCTGAATTCGAATCTGAAGTTTCCATAAACGTATCAGGTGAGCATTTGCAGCCGCTTAAAAAGGCCTTTTTTTGCGGTTTTCTTAAAATAGCGACTACGGATGGGAATAAATCCCAAATTAAGTACATGTTTTGAATAGCTGACGTAATTTTGAAGAAAATGGTGTACACATATGCTAGGCAAACCTAGCACCGTGAACAGCGGCGTGAACATCGCGCCCATTCACGTTTTCGCGGCGCACCCATCAGCGCGGTAAGGCTCTCCGCCGTCCGCCAAGTTCCGCAGCGTTTCAAATTTCGAAGCTCCTTAATTTTTGAGCTTACCTAGCATATTTATATACCATTTTCTTCCAACGGACGTCAGCTATTCAAAACATTAACCAAATCCGGTATTTTATCACATCCATAGTCACAATTTTAAAAAAACCGCAAGAAAGGGCCTTTATAAGCTAGTTTTTCAAAACACCGGCAAATGCTCTCCAGATGCGTGTAAGGAAACTTCAGATTCGGATTCAGCGACCCAAAAAACATGAAGTAGGCCAATAAAGTAGCAGTGCAAAGTGAAATTCCAGGTAGACTTACCAGGCACCTGGACTATAGCACCTCCTGTTGTATCGACCACACTCTCGGATTTCATTTGCAACCAAAGTTTTAAGTTTGATCGGTGTGTACTTGGGTTGCTTGGCGAAAGAAGTCTCTTCGTAACTTTCTCATAATTTTCAAGCCGGTACCTACTAAGAAAAAAAAATATAAGTAATAGATGATTACCTCAATGGTTATGAGACATTTCTTCAACGATTTTTTGTCTGCGCACCTGTTTTTTCTAGTAGTGTACGTTACGTCTTAACGTTCTTTAGGCAGGGGAGTTTAGCCCACTCACCAATTAAGACCCGAAGTGAATTGGTGTACATGTAAATACCAAAGAAAATTCTTCACGACGTTTTTAGATGTAAATGTGTAATCTTTTGTACGAATAAGGGTTCGCTTGGTTTTTTTTTGTTTTGTTTGTTTGGTCCAACAGAGAAAAATATATACTTGAGATTTTTGGTAAACACGGGGGAGCGTGAATTCCATGAGGGAAAATTCACTAGACCTCTCTACGCCTCGGTGGTATGACAGGACTGAATAATCTTTCAAGAAAATCATATCTCGTTATACCTGGAACCGGGTAAAACTTTGGAATCGCCCCAGCTGAAGGCTCTTAGATTTTTCCTGTGCTTGGTAACTTCGCGACGGCGCACTATGGTCCACAGACTGGATTTAACGGAACTTTATTCGAAAATGCACTGCACCGTTATAAAAGGTGTTGGATCTTATGTTTTTTGGGTCGCTGATTTCATTTTACATCTTAGTTTAACAAAATATTAACATCCTGACCGAGAAACTTAACCTCAAATGTGATTTCTGACGCTTTTAAGACTGAAGATTTTTTCCACCCTATTTTGACATGTATAAAAATAATAACAAAAGTGTCTCTCTGTCGAGATCAGACTATTATCATTTATTTTTAGGCGGTAAATCCGAATATGACCTCCGTTTTGGTCCATCACCCTTAAATTTTCCGGAAAAGCCGATTTTACCCGGAAAAATGGACATTTTTGGTGTTTTAGCGACTGTTGACCTCTGCAACATGTAGATAAAATTTTTTCCAGGTACTAAATAGTACTAGATCGATGTACTTTGATCTACTGAGTCCGAAAATGACCTTTGTTTTTTCTTATCACCTCTCGTTTTTCCGAAAAAGCGACTTTTTCCCGGGAAAATGAGCAATTTTGACGTATTTGTGTCATAATTGCAATTCATGTTGATAAATTATACTGGACCCGTGGTAAAGCGATTCTGTCATGTATATTAAGCTGTTAAATCCGAATATGACATAGGTTTTTGTTTATCACCCTCCAGTTCTCCGATAATGCCGATTTTTCCGCGCCTTTTGAGTAAAACCTTTCCCGGACTCTTGTGTTAAAAGTACGGTTTAAAATTGATTTCGATGTTTGATATATCGATTCTTATGTATTTTGACTTGTTAAACCCAAATATGACCTTAGATTTTTCCTATCACCCCTCATTATCCCGGAAAATTCAATTTTCCTCGGAGAACGAACTTTTTCGGTATTTTTGCGCCAATTTTCCTATTCTATGGAGTTGTAGCGATTTTCCAAGTTCCCCTTTAGGTCTTCTCTGACGTTTTAAGAAACATTCAACCGGAGTTCGACCTCAAATTGCCTCTTACAACCCCCCGTTTTCCTCAGAATACGGAAAATCGTCGCAAAAATACCAAAAAAGCTCGTTCTCCGAGGAAAATTGAATTTTCCGGGATAATGAGGGGTGATAGGAAAAATCTAAGGTCATATTCGGGTTCAGCAAGTCAAAATACATAAGAATCGATATATCAAACATCGAAATCAATTTTAAACCGTATTTTTAACACACTTAGAGTCCGGGAAAGGTTTTACCCAAAAGGCTCGGAAAAATCGGCATTATCGGAGAACTGGAGGGTGATAAACAAAAACCTATGTCATATTCGGATTTATCAGCTTAATATACATGACAGAATCTCTTTATCACAGGTCTAGTATAATTTATCAACATGAATTGCAATTATGACAAAAATACGTCAAAATTGCTCATTTTCCCGGGAAAAAGTTGCTTTTTCGGGCGCTAGTAAATTCCGCCGAAAATGGGTAAATTCCGCCGATTTTCCATCCACCGAAAGTGTAAATTCCGCCGATAGGTGCCACCGAGCGAGTGTAAATTCCGCCGATGGAGGAAAAGGAAAATGTTTTTGGAACGGCACTCATATTCGGCAAGAGCATCAAGTTAAGATGTTATTATCTGTTTGAAGGTAGATCTGCGCTCGAAGCCGAGGAGTTGCACTTTGATGATATCAGTAAAACCGATTTCATGTTACGCAGTCCTGGTACCGTAAAATTTTGGCGCTCGGTCTCGCTACAGCTTATAACGATGAAAAATCCGAAATCGGTCTTTGGCTCCATCATTTTTTCGGCCTGATATACTTGGACCCTGATGATGTTGATGATTCGTTCACTGATGATTTTATTGCGTCTCAACCAGACAACGAGAAGTGTCGTGCGTTTGCTGATTATCTGTGCGAAAATTACATTGCTAGCGACAGTTTGTTTCCGCCTCCAATGTGGGCATTTCACACCTCCGACACAACGCTAACGATCAACGCTTGTGAATCTTTTCATAGCAAATTCAGGGAGTACTTTTATTCCGGCCACCCTAAAATGACATGGGTCTCTTTTTTGTTTTATTTTTTGACGTGGGGCTCTCTACACCCTAAATGTTTATTTTCTACGCTCTCCTCTCCAACTTCAACTCATAGACATAGAGGTAAGCAAATTTGCACTACTTACAAATCCTGTTTCAAAAACATTGACCGGCGGAATTTACATTTTGGGTGGACGTCATATCGGTGGAATTCACAAATCGGGAGAATGATAAATCGGCGGAATTTACACTCCAGAAAAATAAAATCGGCGGAATTTACAACCTCCCGCTTTTTCGGAAAAGTGAGAGGTGATAAGAAAAAACAAAGGTCATTTTCGGACTCAGTAGATCAAAATACATCGGAATACTTTTATTTTGTACCTAGAAAAAATTTAACAGTCGCAAAAACGCCAAAAATGCATGGAATATTCCACATTTTGATGTACGGAGGTGCAATCCGAAAAAAATTAATTTCGACCGTTAGGCGCAAAAAGGCGCAATTTAAATTGGCATCATTATAAAGTCAAGGATATGTTGAACAAGATTTTTCAATCCGCAAAGCATTAACTAGAATTAAAAAACAAGCAGTGAACTCCAACACAATGTGTTGATAAGGCGCGTCATTAACTCGCACATATCAACCCCTT